CGTAGAGTGTATACCATGGTTCCCTCCCCCACTGTCTGGGCTTCCCTGAATAAAGGGCTTCTTCATTTGTTCCATAGCTCGGTTTGGGAATATTGTGTTGACCTTTCCGCTTCAAATTAGCCTTGCAAATTGGCTCAAAAAATACCTTAGCCTTCAAAGGTGCTCTTTTGCCTTCAAACCTGTGGCTCATTGCCATGCTTGCCCATGTCCCTGTCACTGAGGTGAGAACACAGGTACAAAGTCTGCATAATTTAATAGAAGGATCATGGAAATCGGGGGCAGAACTGATAGTATTGGTATTAGCTTAATGTTTGTTTCCAGAAGTGTCTCCTTCAGTGCCCGTCACCCTCAAGCCCGCTGAGTAAAAGCATCGATAATTTGCTATGTGGTTTGAAGTTGGGGTGGGTTTGTTATACATCTCTTCCATTGTTGGCCACCACAGCCCAAACACCAGAGGTCAGCGCCCTCTGGTTTGAAGGCATGATTTCAAAGCATGATTTGGAGGAGGAGGAGGAGGAGGAGGAGGAGGAGGAAGACAACCCAAACCCATTGAGACTTTTATATTCAGAAATAAACACAAGGGAGAATAAATGGCTAAAAATGAAATCCTTTTCTGTCCTTCAGACAAAGGCTGCTTGGATGGGAGCCCCGTGTGCTGATCAGAAATTCTTGGTCCCCTCCCTCCAGTTGCTTGAGCACGAGAGCTGGTGGCTGTGACATGGCTGTCCCCCTTCCCCTTGATCCAGTGGGAGCTGCAGCACAGCCCAGATGTCTCTCGTCGTGTTGATCCTGTCGAAAGGCTTGTTCGGTCTTTGTCTTTCTCTCACCTTTTTCCTTGTGTGGTCTTTTCTTTCCTGTAGTGTGCCCTGGAGATGCGAGATTTTCCTTTGGCAGCAGGAGGCACACACCCAGAGGATGCTGGAACTTCAGGGAGGAAGGACCCACTTCCACAGCAGAGAAAAACAAAGAGGAAAAAGGCGAAGCGGCAGCCAGCACTAAGGGACGTACCAGGCAGGCAGTGGGCAGCGGCCTCTGCTCCCAGCAGCTACTTCTGCTGTAGCCCGAGAGGAACTCGGGGAGCCCGTCCCAATTAGTGACCGAAAGCTCAGGATTTCAATCAATGCATTCCAGTAACCCTAAAGTGAGGAGCTCTCCATCAGGAAACACACAGAGGTAAGGGCCTGTGCCTCGCTGCATCTCTCAGGGGTGGCACATGGACACCACACACACCTCTCGGTGGATCAGTGTGGGGTGAGAAGCAGAATAGTCCCAAGTGGAAAGAAAGAGGCAATGTAATGGCGTACTAACAGCTGCTAGCCAGCCCCGAGGCTGCCATTTCTCCGGGTTGCTCTCTCAGCCACCATCCCCGCGTCTCCCACCTTTACCGCTTCCCCACCCCTTGCAAAGCACAGCCACAAGGACCTTAAAGTCCAGCCAGCACCATCTGAGGAAACTGAGGCAGAGTGATGAGGTCTTAGAACTAGCCCACCCAGAGCCTCTGCTGTGTCTCTTAGTTCGCAGGCTCTTATCTAAAAGGATGTTTTCCGTCTTCCCTGGGGGCGGTGGTTGGCTCACCCTTCTTTGGTGCTGTGCTGCTGCGGGGAAGGGTCTGGATGCTGGAGGACTTCCCTGACCTGGTGACACCCACGGGTTTTCCTTCTGCCCTCCTGGGCCTGCTTGCTTGTTCTAGCAGGGGAGCTAGGCTTTCATTACAGCTGTTCCTCGTCGTCAGCCTGGGGGTGGTAGTATTTTGATCTTAACGATGTCTGTTTGTTTACTCTGAGCTAGTCTTAGAGTGAGAGTCACTTTTCTATGTACATAGAAACGGTTGTCCTTTATTGACAGAAGCCCTAGAGATAGGTCCCCATGTGACTCTAGTGTTCCTGAGCCCTGGAGGCCATTCTGTTTGATCTGTGGATAGCTCCAGGATGGGGGCCAGAGTGGCGTGGGCAAGGTGCAGTGTGGGGTGGTTATTTAGCATGCAGGGTCTCCTTAACCCATTAGGGAAACACTGGTTTGTGCCGACCGTATCTGCTCTCTGACCTCTTTATTATTTGTCTCTTTTAGTAGCCCTAAGTCAAAGCAGGAGGTGATGGTCCGTCCCCCTACAGTGATGTCCCCATCTGGAAACCCCCAGCTGGATCCCAAATTCTCCAATCAGGGTAAACCGGGGGGCTCAGCCAGCCAATCCCAGCCATCCCCCTGTGACTCCAAGAGTGGGGGCCATACCCCTAAAGCCCTCCCTGGCCCAGGTGGGAGCATGGGGCTGAAGAATGGGGCTGGAAATGGTGCCAAGGGCAAGGGGAAAAGGGAGCGAAGTGTTTCCGCCGACTCCTTTGATCAGAGAGACCCTGGGACTCCAAACGATGACTCTGACATTAAAGGTATGTCTATAAGCTCTGTGAGACTCAGAGGGAAGTAGCTGTTCCCTGGGGAAGGCTTCTGACATTTCCTAGAGGCCAGAGGCTGCTGTCACTCAAGTGGGAGAGGAGGTGGCAGATTCAGGAACCGTCACCCTTAGGAGAGACCATTGCTTTGCATTTTTCTCCTCATTAAAGAAGAGTCTAGAACACCTCGCTGAGGCTTTCTTGCTCTTGAAGGTGCATGCGGTTTGGTCAGATGTTTTACGGTCCTGGGCCGTGTTCATAAGCATATTTCTGGCCCGTGTGACCTGGTCCTTCAGTCAAGCTGGTAGCTGCCGTTCTGCCTGTGGCCCACTGGAGCAGGTTCTCTGGCATGCCCTCCTCTTGGAGAAATCCTCCACTCTAGACTTGGGTTTTGTGTTTGCTGGTTGCCACTTTGCCAGACTCATAGACACAAGGGGAAGCCTTAATGGCCCTGGCGCTAGTCCAGAGCTGTCACAGCTGATTTCAGTGTGGCAGGAATGAGTGGCTACCAGATGTGGTAGAAGTTTGGCAGGCACCACAGTGTAATGAGCCAGGAAACGGTATTGGTGTGGGGCTTTAGGCTTTTTCCTTCCTACAGTAAAACTTAAAATAAAAAATAAAATTAAATTAAAAAAAAAAAAAAAAAAAAAGATCTTAGGAGGAGGCCAGAATGGGAAGTTACTATTTAAGAAGTGAAAGTGAGATTTCCCCAGCCCCAAATGAAAGTGAAAACCTGAGTAGTTGCTCCCTGCCTCCCTCTCTTCCCTTTCTCCTTCCTTCCTGAAGTGTTCTCGGGGTCCTGTTACAAATCCCAGCACTCGCCCGTCACTGGGGGTGCAGTCAGCAGGACAGACAGTTGTCATCCTTAAGAATTTGACTGCACCTAGAAACCAGTTGTTAGACCATCTGTATGAATGTGATAAATGCCAAAATACCAGAAGGGGACTATGAGTTGGATTAACAGGGGCATCCTGTCATGTCTAAGAAGTTTCAGAAAGGTTGTCAGGAAGGAAGAGCATTTATGCTGGTATGTGTGCTACAGACATATGCTACTATGTGCACTATAGACATGCTAATATGTGTACTGTAGACATGCTACTATGTGTACTATAGACATGCTAATATGTGTACTGTAGACATGCTAATATGTGCACTATAGATATATGCTAATATGTGTGCTGTAGACATGCTAATATGTGAACTATAGATATATGTTAATATGTGTGCTACAAACATGCTAATATGTACACTATATTCATGCTAGTACATAGGCTAATATGTGTACTATAGACAAAGGCTAGTAAGATGTGTACTACAGACATGCTACTGTGCACACTATAGACATATTAGTACGTACACTATAGACAAAAGAGAGGATGGGAGGAGTCTATAGATTGAGTCGTTTAGGGAAAAACGTATTTGAGATACTGGAGTAGAAGAGATGTTCTGTCTTAGCAAGGAGCTTGCTCTTGAAGTTTTCCAGGTGCATTTATGTTGTGATGCTATAAAGACTGATGGGAAGGCTGGGGGCGGGGCAGTTGATTCTCTCTATGACAGCGAGTCTTTCGTTCGTTTAGAATGTAATTCTGCAGACCACATCAAGTCCCAGGATTCCCAGCACACACCACACTCCATGACTCCATCAACTGCGACAGCCCCCAGGTCTTCCACCCCCTCTCATGGCCAAACTACTGCCCCAGAACCCATACCTGCTCAGAAGACTCCAGCCAAAGTGGTGTATGTGTTTTCTACTGAGATGGCAAATAAGTAAGTTGGTGGCTGTATGTTAGTGTTGAGCATGCCTTGTGTGTGTTGAGAGACCAGAGTTCTTATTCTGCTGCTCTGTGCTAACCTTGCTTTCTCGGCTGTGCTGAGAGAGAATGGGGTTATGTGAAACATGGGTTGAGTGTACAATGTACACTTTTCTGCGATTTGTGTGTTTAAAAAAAAAAAATTCCACAAGCAGTAAATGTCTATGCTAGAATAATAAGAAAAATCTAAGGAGAACACTCTCTGAATTCAGCAAAAGTAGCTCCTGTGAACAGTCCCAAGTGGTTGATGAAGCAGTCAGTCTTCATTTACTTATCAAGAATACTTTTACACATTTCACCTGCCTCCTCCTCTCACAAGGTACAGCGTGGATCTTCACAGTCCTATGCTCTCTCTGGGTTTTTGGGGTTCCATGTTGGCCCTTCCTAGTTGGTGTTTGAATGAGGATTTTCTGTAGAACACCTAAGTGGATTGGACTGAATCGAAGATCTTCAGCTTCTTAGTTTTTTTATTGTTCTTTTTTTTGTTGTTCTTTTTTGTTCACTGAAGTGCCTCTGTGGCAGTTCGCTCGTGGCCGCTTCTGACTTCAGATATTTGATGGTAAATGATAAGCATAAATAATGAAGTGTGTTTCCTTTGATTTCTTCACGTTCAACATTCCTCGTGGTTCTGCAGACGCCATCCAGAGCCTTGGAAGCCCAGACCAGGGTTAGCATGTCTAGGAACACAGCTCCCGGAACAGAAGCAGGTGCTAGTCCGTTGTCTCTTGTGTCCCTGCAGGGCTGCAGAAGCTGTGCTGAAGGGCCAGGTCGAAACGATCGTCTCTTTCCATATCCAGAACATCTCCAACAGCAAGACAGAGAGGAGCACAGCCCCGCTGGTATGTTGTTTACGGTTGGAAGAATGGCATCAAGGTTCTGCGGTGCCTGAAAAGAGATGATGCTAAATTAATCGATGGCGCAAGCAGCGTTCTGGGTGTTAAGGGTGGGATCTTAGGCTTACCATCCGACTAGTCTCTTCTACCAGAAGAGGCTGAAGAACACGGTAGACAGAGACAGCTCAACCTAATGACACCCTAAGCAGAGTCTGGTGACTCTCCAAATGATTCTTATTTGTTTCAAATCAAGGCCCATTGAGTGTTTTTGTTTTTTTAAATATTTTGTGTGTATGAATGTTTGCCGGCATGTATGTCTGTGAACCACGTGCCTGCTTGGTACCTGAGGAGGTGGAGAACCTCCATGTGGATGCTCGGAATCAAACCCAGGTCCTTTCCAAGAACAAGAAGTACTCTTAACCCCTGAGCCAGCTGCTTTTTAATTGCTTCATATTTTCAAAATTACAGTAAGTCTGTTTCCTGCCTGGATCTTAAGCACCCAGTATAAACTACATTAGAGAAAAAGTATGCGATGTTTCTTGTAATCATATATGGTTCCACGTGAAATCAAAGCCCACAGGTCGTGTACCAGATCCTGGTGTCAGGTTGAGATTTCAGAGTTCTAGAGCAGTCCCTGCTTTCAGAGAGCATCAGGTCCAGTCCTGGGGTGAGTCGTAGACATGAAAAAAAAGTTGACTGACAATAAGTGATCAGTTATAATTCAAGGTAAAAATAGATAGCATCTTGTCTAGTTTGTGTATCAAAGAGGACTCCATCTCCAGGAGACAGCAGCACCTGGGCTTTCCTAAGCTCAGAAAAGGAACCCCACACTCCGCATGCCCCTCTGCTGTTTCGTGGTGGGGGATGGGTAAAAATCCCTGGTCCTGCAGTGCACTGGGAATGTTGCAGTGCAGTCCACTGCTTTACTGACTTAATGACAGGTCCTAATACAGCTGTCACCTCCACCTTCGCTCATACTAAAATGACATTGGAATAGGAGTTGAGGAGGGGACTGGGAAAGACTGAATGGTCTCCTCTGCTGTGGTTGTTTTATGAAATCGGTGCCCACCTGCAGCAGACTCATCCAAACTGGCAGCAAAACCAAACTTGAACTAGCAGCTAAGCAAAGGTGACTTCCACCGAGGAATCAGACACGGAACATGCTTTTGATAATTCAGAGACGTACATATGCAGATCACAAGCAAACACACCATAGGCACTTGTAAATATGCATTTATGTATGAAGCAGACTGCATATGCATAGCTACACATGAAGATTCATGCACACATTTACACACAGACAAACATTCCAGCTCAGTTGAGAGCGAGAAAATGGACATCTTCCAAACAGAGTGTCCATGTTGTCAGTGAGCATGCTTTTATCTAGGATGTAGTGTAGCAGTGGTCCTTAATAAATGATAAGCAGTCATCCGACCTGTTAAATGGGGCAGCCTTGTTGATTGGAAAAAACAGATCCAGAGACACTGTGTGCTAGATAGTCTCAGGTTTCTCTACAGACACTTCCTGCCTGCAGATTATCTTACTCCAGCCAGTATATAAACTCTTATCAAATATGGAATCAGTGATCACAAACTGAAACCAGAGACACCAGGCCCGTGGAAACTCCAGGAGGAAGTAAGCTGGTTGTCACTCTGCCCAAGGAGACGTTGACATGGAGCAGCAGCCCCCCCCACTGCTCTGGCTCATTGAGCACAAAGCCACAAGTGACTTAGTTTCTCTTTCAGTTGGAAACATCAGACCTTTTGGTTGATATTGAGAAGTCTGTATAACCAGGGAAAAGGGAAAAGGTGTTGGACATAACCACCTACATACCGAGAAACGAATCTTTCCCTAAGTCAAAAGCACATGATAGACGTGGGATCTCAAACTTGTTCCTCAAAATAGATACTCGGAGGTATTCAGTAAAGTAGCTCTTGCCTGGCGCATGTGTGAAGTTATTGAAGCCTAATTTTCAGGGAGGGAAAGAGGGTGCTATTTAGCATAAGGTTTAAGAAGGAGAAAAACACAAACAAACAAACATGTTTCCATGTCCAAAAATGGGTTATCCATGGACAGTTTGAAAGGCAGTATCAATCTGGATTTATGTTATTGGGACACAACTTTTATATCTTATCTCTGTAATTGCCCTTCTGCTCAGTTCACCACTATGTAATACAAAGCATCTTATTTGTCTTCAGAACACACAGATACCCACCCTTCGGAATGATCCAAAACCTCTCCCACAGCAGCCTCCAGCTCCCGCCAGCCAGGACCAGAACTCTTCCCAGAATGCCAGACTGCAGCCGACTCCGCCCACTCAGGCACCAGCACCTAAGCCTGCTGCAGCCCCGCGTCCCCTGGACCGAGACAGTCCCGGGGTGGAAAGTAAACTGATTCCTTCCGGGGGCAGCCCTGCCAGCTCCACTCCACTGCCCCCGGACGGTACTGGGCCAAACTCGACACCCAACAATCGAGCGGTGACCCCTGTCTCCCAGGGGAGCAACAGCTCTTCAGCAGATCCCAAAGCCCCCCCACCGCCGCCAGTGTCCAGTGGTGAGCCCCCGACGCTGGGAGAGAACCCTGACGGCCTGTCTCAGGAGCAGCTGGAGCACCGGGAACGCTCCTTACAGACGCTGAGAGATATCCAGCGCATGCTTTTCCCTGACGAGAAAGAATTCACGGCAGGACAAACGGGGGGTCCCCAGCCGAACACTGGGGTTTTAGATGGACCTCAGAAAAAACCAGAGGGGCCGATGCAGGCCATGATGTCTCAGTCCCAGAGCCTAGGTAAGGGACCTGGGCCCCGGACAGATGTGGGAGCTCCATTTGTCCCTCAAGGACCGAGAGATGTGCCCTTTTCTCCGGATGAAATGGTTCCGCCCTCTCTGAACTCCCAGCCTGGGCCCCTTGGCCCCGACCACCTGGACCACGTGACTCCCGAGCAGATAGCGTGGCTGAAGCTGCAGCAGGAGTTCTACGAAGAGAAGAGGAGGAAGCAGGAGCAGGTGGCTGTCCAGCAGTGCTCGCTCCAGGACATGATGGTCCATCAGCACGGGCCCCGGGGAGTGGTCCGAGGGCCTCCCCCTCCGTACCAGATGGCCCCCAGTGAAGGCTGGGCACCCGGGGCAGAGCCGTTTCCTGACGGTATCAACGTCGCACATTCTCTGCCCCCGAGGGGCATGGCTCCCCACCCCTCCATGCCAGGCAGTCAGATGCGCCTTCCTGGGTTTGCAGGAATGATAAATTCTGAAATGGAGGGGCCCAATGTGCCCAACCCGGCATCCAGACCAGGTCTTTCTGGAGTCAGTTGGCCAGACGATGTGCCAAAAATCCCAGATGGCCGAAATTTCCCTCCTGCCCAGGGTGTCTTCAGTGGTCCCGGCCGAGGGGAACGGTTCCCAAACCCCCAGGGCTTGTCTGAAGAGATGTTTCAACAGCAACTGGCAGAGAAGCAGCTGGCTCTCCCCCCAGGGATGAGCATGGAGGGCATCAGGCCCGGCATGGAAATGAACAGGATGATTCCAGGCTCCCAGCGCCACATGGAGCCAGGAAGTAACCCCATTTTCCCTCGGATACCAGTCGAGGGTCCTCTGAGCCCTTCCAGGGGTGACTTTCCAAAAGGAATGCCTCCACAGATAGGCCCTGGTCGGGAACTTGAGTTTGGGATGGTTCCTGGTGGGATGAAGGGAGATGTCAGTCTGAACGTCAACATGGGATCCAGCTCTCAGATGATACCTCAGAAGATGAGAGAGACTGGGGCAGGCCCTGAGGATATGATGAAATTACGCCCTGGTAGCTCAGACATGCTGCCTGCCCAGCAGAAAATGGTGCCCCTGCCATTTGGTGAGCACCCTCAGCAGGAGTATGGTGTGGGCCCCAGGCCATTCCTTCCCATGTCTCAGGGTCCAGGCGGCAACAGTGGCTTGCGGAATCTCAGAGAACCAATTGGGCCCGACCAAAGGACTAACAGCCGGCTCAGTCATCTGCCACCACTACCTCTCAACCCTTCCAGCAACCCCTCTAGCCTCAACACAGCTCCTGCAGTTCAGCGTGGTCTGGGGCGGAAGCCTTTGGATATATCTGTGGCGGGCAGCCAGGTGCATTCTCCAGGCATTAACCCCCTGAAATCTCCTACAATGCACCAAGTCCAGTCCCCGATGCTGGGCTCGCCCTCGGGGAACCTCAAGTCCCCTCAGACCCCATCACAGCTGGCAGGCATGCTGGCAGGCCCAGCTGCTGCCGCCTCCATTAAGTCCCCTCCTGTGTTGGGGTCTGCTGCTGCTTCGCCTGTTCACCTCAAGTCTCCATCACTTCCTGCCCCATCACCTGGATGGACCTCCTCTCCCAAACCTCCCCTCCAGAGTCCTGGGATCCCTCCAAACCATAAAACGCCCCTCACCATGGCCTCCCCAGCCATGCTGGGAAGTGTAGAGTCAGGTGAGTGTGCTTACATCCTCACCCTTGTAGCTAGAGGTTGCTAGAACCCCGAGTTTGTGTTTTAAGAAAACTTAGGTCTTCATGGTATAGTCAAAATTGGTTGCAAGGTGCATGATTGTCAATACTTCATAGAGTTATTCACAAGTGTCCGTCCGTCCGTTCCTGGCAGAGTGTGTGAGGGGCCGTTGAGAGGCATGAAAACAGTACCCTTGTTAGTTCCCTGAATAATGGGCATTTTCGCCTGAGGACATGATGGTGAAATGGAAGGTTAACAGTGGTTAAATGTGGCTGCCTCCAGTGCCGCAACCGCTCACTTCAGGGGGTTGCTGTCCAGTCAAAAGAGGGAATATAAGCCCAACCAGAGTGAGGGGCGCTGCTCTAAGGCCTAGGGGGTCCTGTGAGTATGTATCAGCTGCAGAGACGGCACAGCTCCTCGGTGACCTGCTGCAGTCACATCAGCTGCAGCTTGTTACGGTGTTTTCTTCCGAGGAGAGGCTCTGGCTGATGAGGATGTTTTCTAAATGGGTCCGAGGCGGTCAGGGAAGTAGCCCTGGGGTGTTAACTACTAGGCTGGTGCCATCTCCACTTGAGAAACACTAGAATCAGAGTAAGGCA